TTTAGGGAGGTATTGAGAATTATATTTTATTATTTAATTAGTTTAATAATATAATTAAAATTTATTAGAATAGTAATGTCATCAAATTAGAATTCTAATAAAATAATTATTTTTTAATTAATAGATTAAGAATTTTATAAATATTTTAAATATAATAATATAAAAGATGAAATAAAATTATTTTTTTTCTTAAAATCTTCGGTCCAAATGAATGCTAAGTTATCATAATTGTCTTAGCAGATGGAGACTCTTTCTCAGATAGTCACCTAGTTGCGCGACAGAAATTTAGAGGGCAAAACATAAGTCGACAATAGTTACACAATCCAATCTAGTCGAGTTGACAACCGGCTGGAATCGAGCACTACAAATACAAAGTTGGAAAATAAAAGAATTATTCCATGCTACACTAAACTGGATTTCCCCACCTACAATTGCATAGAAAATTCTTTAATTTGACTCTATTGATACGATCAATTCTTTACTAATCAGTGGATTGTCGCCTCCGATAATGTTAGTTTAGTAGTGTTTTACATTTTAGAAGAAACTCAACTTTGATACTATAAACTACAGCAGGAAGAGCGGGATATGACATGGGAGACATTCGTGGAGTATTGCACTTTACGGTTTGGACCGTACCTGCAAAGTAACTCATTGGGCGAATTGGTCAACCTTAAGTGCAAACGGACTCGGTTGAGGAGTATTAACTATAGTTTCCGAGGTTGTTGGCCCGATCTTCTATGGTACGCCGTGATCAACAAGTCAATTTGTTCATATTAGAACTTATCGATTCTCTCCATTTAGAAGTTGAGATACAATCGCTCACCACTCTTATGCATGCAATGAGTACGATCAGAACTTTTGAAAGGAAACAATAGTTGTGGGATATGACCGAACACAATTATAGTGAACCTTCTTAATCCATGACCAAACCTAATAATTCATTTCATAAAATATCGGCTCTACAAGGCAACAACGTCATTACAAAATCTGATTACACTTCCTCTCTATTTATAAAAAAATTAATAAAGACAAATGATATAAAGGAGACTAAAAAATTTATATTATAACTATGATGAACCATTTGTTTCTGATCATTAATATAAATGGTCGTTCTGCCTCAAGATTGAATATGACACTAGTTCTGAACAACAAGAAAAGACCAACAAGTCGGTTAAATCCACATTTCAAACTTAAGGACAAGCTTAAAGATTAGGGAAGAGTAATTTTATAGATGAATTTATAAGGCCTAAATAAAATGTTGAAATTTAATTAGATATGGAATTCTAATTAATATTAAATTTCTAAATAGTAAATATATAATCTTAATTAATATTATATTCTTAAATAGTATATGATTTTCTATTAATATTGAATTTTTAAATAATATAGGATTTTTAATATTTTAGTTGAGTATTTTTAATTAGATTTAAATTTTTAATTAAATTAAGGTGTGTAAATAAAAATTGTAATATTTATATAAAAATGTATGCTTACTATTAATAAAGATAAGTTAGAATATTATTTTAAATTACGATATTAGGTTCTTTGTAATAAAATTTAAGGTATCAAATGCATTTGATGAAATGTAATTTATTTTCCTAAAATAAGTCGTTCTCGCAATAACAACAAGAGTGTTAACCTATTGTTAAAAAATGACTTTATTGTTAATCATGCAGTGACTCGATTCTTAATTAGGAAACATAATATTTTACTAAAATAATTTTAAAAAAAAACCATATAAGAGATATTTTGGATAGACTCACCTCCGAGCTTGACTTTAAGGTATTTGTGGGAGAGGAAAAGTTGAGAATACTTGGTGTAGCTGCATATGAGAGGTTGCCCCAGTATCAGGCAACCAGAAAGTTTCATGGGCTTCCTGGAGTTGAAGAGCAACGAATAATCTTTTTTGCATTGAATTAGTTTGGGTCGAGGGTTGCATTGATACTTGCCTCTTCAGTGAAAGACATTCTCGGAGTATGCTTATATCACATACAAAATTAGTGCTGAAAACTAATAGAAAGGCAATTAGGATGTTGTGTTTGAGGAGTTGGACCAAGAATTCCATTTGAAAAGTGATGATAAGAATTAGAAGAGCGATGAATAGATCCATTGCGACCTCTACCACATATCAACCACGTTCCCTGTAATTAGAAGTAAACTATCCACGACCGGTTGAGAAGATCGATTCACGGGAGGACCTGATTGCTAAAAAATGTTTGTGACAACAAAAATAGAGGAATTGACTGACAAGGAAGGCCATTTTTTATGTCGTGCAAGTCAAATCTCTTGAGGTACAATGCAGTTCAAAGGTCGACAAAGGAGGGTAACAGTTTTTGGGAACTTAATTTGATGACAACATTCTCATAATAAAGGGAAAGACATTCCAAAATTTGAAGAACCAAATCTCCTAAAGAGAGCTCATAGCCAATAGATACCAGGGAATCGAACAGAGTCTTCATCTTTCGGACGTATGCATTGATTAATAGATCAGATTTAGAAGTATTATAAAATTCTAATTTTAGTTGAATAAGTGGAGCGTGAGCTTGATCTTGGAATAGTATTTCAATAGCAAGCCAAGATCTTAAGCAGTGAGAGAGATGTTGGGTTTGAGAAAACTTCGAAGGATGTCAGAAGAGAGTTGCTTGAATCCATGAAAGTACTTGAGCATCAACCTGCTTCCATAAAACAACATCTGAATTTGGCACCCGTTCTGTTATGAATGAGAGTTTCAACCAGACATAAACCGCTCTTGTCAATGTGATTGAGAATGTCGTAGCCTTGAAAAACCAGGATGAAAAGAGATTTTCAAACTAAATAATTTTTGAAATCGAGTTGTCCACTAACACAATTCTTAATGTTGGAAACACCTAAAGAAGGATGAGAAGCACGAGAAATGTGAAGGAAAGAGGAGGGACAAGAGTCACCTACTTTGCAGGAGAATGGCCCTTCTTTTAAGTAGAGTGGCAGACAGAGTAGGCTACTTTGCAAGAGAGAGAATGACTTATTAAGAGAATATGAGGCTATCAGAGTTTCACAAAATAAAAGAGAGCCAAGGCAGCAGTTCTGTAATGGGAGAACAGAGACAGATAATAGAGGTTTTTCTCTATCGGTATTGTTATAGGATAGAAATTAATAGTCTGTAGAGGAATTGTGACCGAGGAGAGAGATAGCGACTGAGAATAGAAATTAACGATCTTGATTGAGAGAGATAATGATAAGCCAAGAAGTGCGACACGATAAGGAACCGCGATATGAAGGGAAAACACAGAAAATGGGAACGTGCGGCTGAAGGGAAAACAGCATAACGTTTTATGACAGAGTATCTAGCCGTCACCAATCGTTTATTTTCTTTCCTTTTATTTGCTAATTTCCAGCAAATGCTCCCTCTGTAATCAGAGCAGTAAGTTTGATGTTTCTGTATTTAAACTCCCAAGCACCAGCAATAAAGGAGTTCACTTACTCATCACATTAACATGTTATTTATATGTTACAAGATGCAGAGTCCTAATCTAACCTTAGGTTCTAAATTTCGAATGATATGGAAAAAATGCTATTATAAAAATACACACAAATTACAATACAGTTTACTTATAATACATATTTGTCATTTTATCTCTTTATATCTGACATAAGATATATAATTAATAAGATATTTATTAAACCTAATCATGTATTTATTGACATGTAGCGGCTAAATTATGTGTATTTTATTTTAAAAGAGTGATTTTCAGTTTTGGATGCATATATTACCAAAAGTTTTCGTTTAAATTGCACGTCTAACTTAAAAAAAAAGTTTTTATGATATTTTTTAATTATTTACTGAATACTTGGATAGATGGAAATTGACTTTACAACTATTATTCACATTTCTTTTTGTCATTACAAATATGCCAAAACATGACTCCATAAATAATATGCATGTTCGATCCATTTGTTTAATGTTGTAATTCCATTTCCTTCCTTAAACTTCTTTGATTCTTCCTCATCATCACTTGTTACAGGATGGAAATACAAGTGGTTCTGGGTCTGAAGTTTGTGAAGATGAATTTTATGATGCAGAGATATTGGATGAGATGACAACCAGCAGAGGGGAGTTGAAGCTTAGAACTGTAAGCTTCAGAGAAGATATGTTCTCTCCAGTAAGAGTTGTATTTTATTGTGTAGACTCTGAACTTTATAGCCAGTTTTCATTTATTGTTCATGCTTAATCATGTATGAGAACTGCATTGTTTTCAGATTTATCCTGAAGGTGCTGGGAATACTTGGAGAGCTTAGGTTATAATGAACTAGTCTATAATGAGGATGGTTATTGTGAACACCCCCATCTAATCGAAGCCAAAATTATGACCTGATGAAGAAGAATATCTATTATATATTCGGCCAAATACAGTGATTAGTTGAGAAATGATGAAAGGTTAAAGCAGAATACTTGTTCAGATTAATGAGAAAAAGTGAGGGATAGCATAGATTGAAATGTATCTTTTGTCCCTTTTTCTATATTAGGAAATCTTGTAGAAGAGTGAATCTTGATAGCCCTCGATCATCTTTTTTCTTTTTCTTTTTTTCTTTGAGTTAATTGTTTAAGGGACAGGGTGAGGTGGGGGAAAGAGAATAGGGGAAGAAATCAGAGACAGCAAAAGGAGATTCAGAAGCACTCCTACTCTCTTCCAAATGAGAATATAAATACGAAGAGGATTAATGATCATTTGTTATACCTTTTATAGGTCAACATTTTCGTTTCTTTTCAAGTTAGATGTTGTACTTATACATTCTAGTTTTATAAGTAACTTTTTTGGTTGAATTCTTACTTGAACCACACATTTATTGAAGCCATAGATGGAAGCATATCACTATTGCCCTTGTATTTTCTTTTGGTACTTGTTGGATCTCAAGCGTATGCTTATTGCTTAAGCTAATAAGAGAACACAAGCGAAATATATAATAGTGATGATTGGATTAGGTTTTAGATAAATAGAGTAATCTTACTGGAATTTTTATATTATTTAACCAGTATAACTGTGCAAATGATCTCATTTTTTTTTTGTTTTATCTTCAGTAGGTTTCTGTTTTGATTAAGATCTTGACTTAGATATAGATGCATTTCTCGATTAGCTACTGGAATTTACTGTTAAATCTACTTAATAATTTGTTTATAATTTCTTGTTATATTATTTATGTCGGATTGTAATAGTAAGATATGAATAAAGTGTTTAACTTTACATCTTACCTCGAGAACTAAAAAATAATTACTCAAAGAAGCACAAGTAATAGCACATGAGTTAGAAGTAACACCATTATTTATATCAGAATTAGTTGCAAACTTTTTGAAATCTTTGTCCTGACCTGATTTTAGTTCTCTTACTATATATTGTTGGACTAATCACATTAATTGTTATATTAACTTTTATCTTCGTTCTCAAATTTGTATTGATAGTTATAATTATAATAACAGTTATATTTATAACTATATTTGTAGCGAAAGTGAGAAGAGCAGTAAAAGTGAAATCGTAGTAATTTAATAATAAAAGAAAATTCTAATGATTTTAATATATTACTTTATAAACTCAACACAAATTTCTGAAATTTTTTAAAGTCAATGTGAAATATCAGCAGCCTATTTCATGAGCTTCATTCATGGTTTGCCCTGGCATATGAAAGATTTGCTTAAGCTCCGACAAATATTACTTTTAAGTCTCAACATAAAGAGTAAAAAAATTATGTATTCAATTACTAAGAATGGCAAAAACAGTTCCAAGATATCTGCAAGGTTCATAAATATCCTTCAAATACCTAAAATATGTAAGAACATGCTCATGTAACTCTGAATTCTCATAAATGTATCCATAAACATGTTAAGCTTTATGGATACTGCAGAGTACCCAAACTTTCAATGAAGGCCCACAAATGTACAAAATGCTTATAAGCATCTCCGCATACCCAGAATGCTGGAAAATGTGTATACATATACCAATAACATGTCAGCATGCCAAACAATTTTGTCTACCTTTTAGTGCGAGGTTGGTGATGTAGTGTAGTTAACAGAGTATGGAATGATAAAATAATAGAAGAATTTTAGTTAGTTTGTGTCGATTATTTAAGTATGAAATGATTATATTGTTTATGACTATAATGTATTTTACATATTATAACGTACATTAATATAATAACAAACTAAATATTAAAACAAAAATTAAGAATTTTTAACTATAATATCATAAAGCTATATTCAAAACCACATTTGAAATAAATTTTTAATTCAATAAAAAATTTGGTTGTGAAGATGCACTCAGAGGTAGGAATAAAAATGGTGTCAAGAAATTCGATTACTCGTCCCATGTAATGCCTCAAAAATATTACAATGCGGCACATTTATGTAAAATTCTATTAAGGAATGGCAAAACTTGAGTTAAATTTAATAATTAACAATCCTCCAAATTGAAACTTCAATCTCAAAGTTGAAAGAATTTAAACTACTGGGATAAATAATTTCTCAATCTAAATATAAATTCAAGAAATATTTTGGTTCTCTATATACATCTTATTCTTTAAAATCTATAAAGAAATAAATGAAGTAACCTCGAAATTCGACCAGTAATAAAAAAATTTAAATTAAACAGATTTTATTAATTAAAATAAAAATAAATTTAGTATATAATAAAAAATAAATAAAACAGTAAAATAATTTTAGATTCTAAAATTATTTTCAAATAATCATCCAAGAAAATTATATTTATCTTTAGCAAAAGATTAACTAAGAAAAGAAAATCTCACAGTTTACCATATTCATATGAAAAAATTCAAAATTATATTTAACTTCTATATTGTAAGTGACATGTATCTTTCTATATTAGAGTCTAAAACTATATTTAATTCTCATCATGTAAGTAATACATATATCTTTGTATCAACAAGGCAAAGAAGAAATATAGTTTTACATTATGTATTTATCTTTATCTCTATTGCTAAATTCAAATTTAGTTAGACCGAGTTTTAAAACAAGATTATAAATTATTTATTATTCTCGTTAAAACAGACAAATCATTTCTTATTTTAATTAAAATATATAATTTCATCAAATTTATCAATTTTTAATTTTATTAATTCAATAGTTGTACTCGAAATAAATAATTATACATAATACGCACTTCAAGAAAATTTATATAATTTATAAATAGTTAAAAAACAACTAACAATTTAATAAATTCATAAAATTAGAAAAAATAAATAAATATTATAATACAATTAGAATAGGTCCAAGACTATTCTCACTTGTAACATCAAACATTAAAATTTTCAATAAAATGTCAAAAGCTTCTTAAAAAATCTTATACATTCAAAATTTCAAATAAATATTTAAAAAATTCAATAATGCATATACATATTCATGAGAAGTCTAATGTTGACAAATGCAATTTAACGCGCATCTAGAAGGCCATTTATCAAGCTCAAATTTAAAATTCATCAAACTTTTTATGATTTAATGCAAATTTATTGTTTCCCAAATTTACAAATTTTTCCTACAATCCAATAAAATTTAACGTGTAATATATATAAAAAAAAAAATTGTATCTTCGAAAAATTTCAACTATATTAGTATCAACTAGCATCCTAAAATTGCTTGTTGAAAATTAAACTTTAGATTATTTTGTTTACATAATGTATAATTGAATTTAAAAATCTAATTCTCTTAATACAGATCAAATTAGAAAATAATTATAATATATAGACATGTAAAACTATAGTTTAAAAGAATGAATCAATTAAAAAAATTATTGAAAAATGAAAATTCAGATTCCTAAAACTACTGCTGTGATTTCATAACAATTCTAAAAATTCAAAAATTTATAACTCCATTAATTCTAAGCAACTTTAGTATTTATGGAAATCTTATAAGGTAAAGACTATGAATAAATCAGTTTAGTGGCTGAAAATTAGGTAGAAAAATCATAAAACTCGTTGTGAAGCAGTTCACAACTTTTTCTGACTCTTGTTTTTTTAAAAATTTATAATTTTTTTTTATTTAAATATAAACTATAAATAAAATAGTTTACACACTAAAAACTTATTTTTTTTAAAAAAAGTATAAAAATGCGAGTAAGATGCT